ACCTTGAGGCCCGCCTCGACAAGAAGGACAGCGCTTGAAGGAACGACAAAACAAACGGGCTGTGTGGTCCCCAGAGTGTTTTCTCTTTCCCTATTTTATTTCTTTTATTTTTCTTTAGGGGTTGCTTCCCCCCCTTTTCCCTTTCCCTCTCATTTCTTGGAAACGAAATGAAGTCACAGACAAGAGGGAGCAGGGATCTTGAGGGTGATACGGCAGGGTTACGCACCTCCTTTTTATTCTTCGTCGCCTTGCTGACAGAATACCCACGCAGAGTCTGGCAAGGCAGAGGGGGTAGAAATGTGAGGAATGGGAAGATACGAGCTATCGAGGCCAACCAGCCAGCAGAGGGGCGAAGACAGGTAGACAGACGAAGAGAGTGAGAAAAGAGGATCGAAGAGACAAATCTGCATCATTGTATAACACGGCTTGGTAGTTGCGTCATTGGCATAGGGATTACAGCGCCCGCTAGCCTAGCTCTACGTATGATTTATATGGACTGGGCAATTGGTATCAGTTAGGAACATTGACCGCATAGAAAAACTACTTCACCTGCGATCTTGAAAGTAGAAACTCTTGTCCATGAATTGGATTGGATTGGATTGAGCCATCGGCATTTCTATTATACGGCGTGTACCAAGGGTTATTTATTGTGTAAACAAACCCCATTCTGGTCAAGGAAACCACCCCTCATGTCGTGACCAGATGCCTGTACGAGTGATGCTTTGTTGTGTGAAAGAATATGTAACGCGGCCGGAAGCGCCAAAGTAAGCCGCCATTTAAACACTATGCGTGGGATGCCGTCACTGCGTCGGCGCTCTGGTCATCCTCTGGATATCCCAACAGACCAAAAAGAAGAAGAAAAAACCCCCCAACCAAATTTGAAATAGCTTCCACGCTTGTCAGCTTGGTTGGTTCCGCGACGGCCCTGATCTTGTCCTATTCCCATTATACCTGTTTGCTTGCATTCGTAGGCAGGTCGCCCGCCTCGTCTCGTCGTCGTGGGTCTTGTGCGACGTGGGTTTCCCCAAGAGCAGGTGTCCGAACCGACCCCATTGTCTGGCCTTCAGCGGCACCATTGTCTGTCCCAGTTGGAACTTGCCCGTCGTGGCTCGGTTGGGGCTCTTGTATTGTTCGTTTGCTGGATGCGGCGAAAACGGCCTGCCAAGGCGATTTCTTCGTGGTCGAGGCTAGCTCGGCGGGCTCCTACGCGGCCTGAGCAGGTTTCTCTTTGAGTGTCTTGCCTCGCGGACGCATGACGGCGTCCTGGCTGCTCATCCTCCGGTCGAGGGCACGCTCCAGCTTGGCACCGAGAGCCAGCTTGCTCATGTTGGCGCTCTTCTCCTCGCTCAGAGTAACTCTTTGGGAGCTCAAGGCCTTGTTCTCCATACGGTCGAGGCCAACAGCGATGTCGGTGATTTCGGCGTGGGCCGAGTCGGTGGTCTGGATGGTGTTGGCGAATGATGGTGTCATGCTGAAGGTACTGTATCGCACAGAGGTACGCACCTGAGGAGTCTCTGTCAGAACGGTAGTCATTTTGGGCGAGTGTGGATGGAGGGGAGGCAGGATGTGAGAGTGTTAAAAGAGTAACTGTGGCAGAGGGAGGGAGATGAATTGAAGGTAACAAAGTCGACCAAGTGGGTGTAAAGTGGAACTGAGATCTTGGTGTAGACAGGCAATAGCTAACGGATATAACAGTTTGTAGGCAGAGGGAGCTGACCGGGGCAAACGAAAAGGTCCGGGTCGGGAGATGGGCAGGCAGGGAGGGAGACATACCGAGGGAGCCATGATGGGACGAGATGAATCGACGGAAGTGGGCATTGTGACTGACTAGGTTTGTCCGGGTTCGACGAGATCCCTGCGTTCAGGTGGAAAAAAAAAAAAAAAGTTTGTCGAAGTAGGTATGGGCGTCCAGTCTTTACTGTGGTTCCGAGTTTCCACAGGCCAGGGCTTGCTTCACGACTGTCGGACCACCAAGCAGGCGAGCGGACAGGCAGGGCGGTTGGCGGGGGATTTGATTTTGCAGATTTGGGCGAAAGGCACCCGGGGTGCTTTGCTCAGCTTGAGCAAGTGGCAGCGGCGGCGGCGGTAGTAGTGGTAGAGAGGGGCGAAGTAACGGACAAGAGACTCTCGCCGGTCGCTTCGGGTGTGGTGGTGACGGCGGTGCTTGTGCGTGCGTAATGAATGTAGCGTGATTGGGTAAAGATGAGCGCGTCTTCGTCCTTGGTTGGGTGAAGTCACTGGCGGGACTTTGAGAGGAATCAGGGGACTTTGATGATCCAAGGACCAAACTTGTTTGCACGCAGGCGAGATTTGAGGCTCGGGGTGGGCGATCGATGGGGGTCTAGCTGGGGGGAGGAGGAGGAGGAGGAGGAGGAGGGGAAATGGGTCGTATCGTGAGGGTCGAAGAGGCGAATTAGCAGGAGAGAAAAGGGAGGGAAAAGAGGAGAAGAAGACTGGAGTCAAATTGGTATGGTTTGAAGATGAGGGATGTTCCGACTAGTCTGGTGTACTGTAGACAAAAGAACAGACAGACAGACACTTGGGCGCGATAAATGAGGTGGAAGAAGAGAAATGCGAGAGATGGGGCCAGATACAGTATGAGAGTCGCGGCGAGGGAGAGAGCGAGGGGGCAGAGATAATATCAAGAAGTAACAGCGAGCATTAGCAGCGACTTGGGTAGCGGTAGTGGAGGTACATTGAAAAAGGAAAGGCAGGGACAAGGGGGGGAAGGAGAGGATGGTGGCCCGGGAGGCGACGGAAAAAGCAGGCTGGGAACAGGCTACGTAGTACCTAGGTTAGGCGGCCAGGTACCTGTCCATGTAGCAGTCACGATCTGTTATAGGTAGGTACTGACTGTAGTACTGTCTTACCCACACACTACCTAGGTACCGACCTACCTGACCTTGCCTACCTAACCTACCTAACTTACCTACCACCTGTTTACCTCCGTAGAGTTGGTAAGTAAGGGGATAGTTTGCGAACACTCGAACGTTCGTCATGGGAACAGGGAAGACGAGGTAAAGGATCGGAGAGCAAATTACCTAGGAGAGCCAGCTACCAAAATCGGTACCAGCTTTTGCTCTGTGTACGTATGTACGCATGCATGACTGTTTCTCTCTGGGACACACTCTGGGAAGGGAAAGGAGACAAGACAATAAGATGCAGTCGAGGCAGGTACGCACGCGTACATAATTCCTGCCACCTATCTACCTAGGGATGAGTACCTGCCTAGGTAGGTACCTAGCTACTCAGACTCAGAAGACAAACGGACGGACTCCAAGCCGCATCGGGGTAGCGATACTTGGGCACGAGTGCATCTACGTACAGACGTGCGTGTACCGGCCCAAAGCAGATAGCTTGGGTTGTATTGGGTTGGATCGGGGGAGACGAAAGTCAAGAGAGCCCCACGCAGCGCAGACAGAAAGCAAAAGGGAGACAGAAACCAAGGAATGGGGAAGGGAAAGGAAAGGAAAGGAAAGGGAAGGAAAAAGGGACAAAACAAAAAAAAGAGACCGGCAGCACCTACTTCCTGGGCATTCCGTTCTTCTTTTTTCACACAGCACTTGTCAAACGCTATTGCTCCTGTGCCTGCGCCATCGTACGGCACGCCACTCTGGACAGGCCATACTAATGGAGTAGTGACTCTCTGCATTGCAACTACTTGGAGCTAAGGAAAGGTAGGTACCTACCTACCTACAGTTAGTATGCAGTATCCGTACCTACCCATCTACCCGTACGTGTTGCCATTGGAGCTAGGCAAAACTGGGAAAGCATGGCGCACATAGGGGCCGGAGCCATGTGTCCAGCAGGGATTAGGGAGGATCGGAGGGGGTGGTGAAGGAAAGGGAAAAAGGGAAGAGCAGGCAGGGGAAGGGGAAGGGGAAGGGGAAGGAAAGAGGGGAGACAGCAGTTTCTGCAGGAAGCGGTACGTAACTAGATACATACCCCGTGAGTACCTACTTGCATACCTACCTACCTACCTAGCTAGCAGCTATCTACACACTACATACAGCACAAGCACATCAACCCAGAATCCGGTGTTCTGCTAATAAGTCATGGATTCTATCTAGCCTATGTTTATCAATCAAAGACTCGAGACATAGTCATGAGCAAATCACTGCATTCACGTAATTAGATAGCCCCGTCTACAGTAATGGTGTGCATCTGACTATACACTACTACCGGTACATAGCATGTTGCCGAATCGGTCAAACCTCCTAGTCGGGCTGACGGGGCCCCCTGTCCCGCTTGGAGACAGACACATGGCGAACACAGCAGCAATCGCTATCCCTGGTGACGGCGATCATAACTGCTTTTTCGAGTTTCTTTTTTCTTTTCTTTTTTTCCCCTCTCCCCGCGCGAGAAGGCCCGATGGACTACGGAGTACCTAGTCAATTGCCGTGGCTCTCTCTCAGCGACATCCGAATATGCGGCATCTTCCGAGCGAGGTTCGACACGGGCCGTCGAGGCGTCAGCTCGTGCGTGGCTCCGGTCTTCGATAGCACTGCCGTTGTGCCGTAGGTACGTGTAAACTATCCGTACAGGTACTCGACAGAACTCGAATAGGTAAGGCAGGCAGGCACTTACTCCGTACTACCTACGTAGGTGGGGAGAGAAATGTGCTAGGTTGGGCCTGGTAGTGTGCCCCCATCGCCCTTAATCTCGCCCTCAACCTCACTTCCATGCATACATACTACTGCACCGCTGAATTAATATTTCCACACATACGGAGTACACGCATACTACGTGTGATGGGTAAGTAAAAACTCCCTAACAGGTAGTGTGGAGTTGTGACCCACGTACGCGAGACTCTCACTGGCCAGAATTATGATGGATGTGCACAAGAACCTCAAAGTACCCTCGCTGAGGTAATCAGAAAAGCACGGCCATATTTACCTGACGAGGGGGTTAAACTTTGGCCCGATACCATAGTATATATGCCATCTTCAGTAGCGACAGTCAGTGCCATATGCGTAGTCGTCATAAACTCCCATGTTTCTCCCTTTCAACGCAAAGTAAAGAGATGATGCTTTTCTTCTTCGTCTTTTCCCAGACTGCCCCTTGTGCCGCACTGAAAATTTGAGTATTACCAGTTCACCGTCTTCTCCCTACTCACTCAATACGTTCTTCGGCCCGAATACAACAGACCCTGTGGTTGTAGCCCGTTGGGACTCACCCCTCGATTCTGTACAGCCATACTACTACTACACCATGCACACTGAGACGGCCGCATCCGTCGATTTGCAATCGGATGGTTAAAGATACCTGCTGTGCCAAATCAAGGAACTGGATGAAATGTAGTCATCTCATCCGCCAACCCAACCGTCGCGCCGCCGCCGCTAGGTATCACATTCGACATGCCCTGTTCATCATCAATCGCTCCATTCATCCTGCTCTCGTATCGTCACCGCCCGCACGCTCCCCCCCAAGGATCCCTTTCCCCGTCTGGCAGCTCACAAATCCGGCAAGTATGCAACCGTACAGCTTGGGCATACTCCCACTTTGGCTGCCGCTCGGGCGAACGACGATCAACTCGGGAAAAAAAGGAGAAGTGGGGATCTCGACCTTGGAATGAAATCATGCGGAGGAACAGCCGCCCACGTGAGCCCATCACTCCCGCGCGCGTCCGGCTACCCAACCATCTGAGCAGAGGCTTCATCGGATATCCACCACGTCAGGGACCCCATGATCGATGCCCATCTACACTAGTAGTAGGTATCCATCCCATTTGCATTGCAGACGACATCGAGCAGGTCCCCAAACGGCAATCAGAGGCCGAGCTGCCCCGAGAGAGCCTCGTCGCACGGGATAGTCCAACGCAGCAATGCTCACACCGATTCGCCCTCGTCGCAGACACTTTGACCCAGAAACGCAAATCCAAAACCCACGTGCTGCCTGCATCGGTTGAGCTTGGGCCTCGTCTTAGCGTATGTACATGCACAGCACCATGGTAGGTAGTGTACCGGTAGTGTAGTCTTGCTTCTGCCAGCGCTAGCCCCGAAAGCCCTGGGCGCGGACCTGATGCTCTCTCCCTCCTCCCCTCCGACAGATGCCAGCACCCAGCGGTTCTGAGCCAATCCTGGGATGGTGAACCAGGTTAAGAGCCTCTCAAGAGCTGTGATGGCTCCGAGCTTAACTTTCCCCAACATCGCTTGCACGGGTTGACGCTCGCTAGCATTGCCCCCCGCCGTACGTGATGGCGTCGTCTAAACAAGTAAAGTAGAGATGTCCTGTCTCGGTCACTGTCAAACTCAAACCCCGGGTGGCTTGCTTGTTGCTGTCACCGGCGACTTGCTGCTGTTCGTCACTCCAAACCCAGCCAGAGTCCGCTTCATGTTGTAAAGCACAATGTCGATCCCACAGAGACGCAATCTTTTCCCCCGATCCCGGCGACAGCTAGATACAGCGGCCCTCGAGCACCAGCTTGGCGGTGTCAGCCACCGGTAATGATGACTAGGGTACCCCCCCCCCCTCTGAATCATGTCGTCAACCCTGCCAACAAGCCGCAGCCAGGTGTACTCCGTATATCGGCCGGAGATCTCGTTGATTTGAAAACGGCCAGAACGTGATATTAATGGCCGGTTTTGGCTTTGAGGCACGTCGATCAACATTTGACGAGAACAGCCACTCCACGAATATCCTCTCCCGTTTCCGCCCCCTGGTGCTTCGGGCGCTCTTATCGGTCAGCCAGCCGTCCGTCGGCCGGTGATGGCGCACTATATCTTAGATTTCACGCACATGGCTCGTCTTAGATGATCTTGTTTCACTCTGTACGGCGTACCCATTTGACGCTGCCGGACTCGTCCCCTTAGACCACTTTTGATGGTACGAAGCGCCAATACCGGTAGATGCCCCCCCCCCCCCATCGTCTCCTCCTGCTGCTGCATGCGCTGCACGTGGCAAACACATTCCACTCTATTCCGGCTGTTAGTCATATCCATCCATCGCTGGGCATAGAGTTTCGGCGGAGAGCAAACTCCCATCGGCACCAGGCATAATCGTTTCTGGGTTAATGTTCGCCCGCCGGCCTGCCTGTCTGCCTGACGTGGAAATAGATAGACCTTGCCGTTAACTTGGGTTTCAGACGTCGTCACCTGCTCTCTTCTAACTGTGTTACTGCGATCGTACTTGTGTGGCCTCATGAAAGACAGCTTTGGTAACGTACCTCAGTCATCTGCCGTCTATTTGTTGATCCGCTGCACCTCATCGCCTGACTATCCATAGTTTGAGCCCCGGGCAGCTTTCGATGGGCTTCGGGGCCTAATCAAGCAGGCCTCCCCCCATCCGTCTCTGCTGGTACAGCGATCACGGGCATCCTAATCTACAGCGCAGCCTGGCCTGTAAAAACCTTCCATCGTTAAGTTCCGATGGGCCAATCAACCCCCCCTATAAAGTCGTCTCCGAAAGTGCCTATCGCTGCCCTCTCTCATTTGGCTCCACACGCTATTAATTATATGATACCGAGTGTTCGTGATCTTGACACTCTATTTCCGTACGTAGCTGGGCAATTACTTTTTTTTTACCTGAGGCGGCGAACTGTACCCCTGGCCGCCTTGACTCGTGCGTCCATTTGACCTTGGAGCTGTTCCGACTCTCTGAGATAAAAGCTGGGGTGCACCAATTGCGATACATGGGACAAATGGCTATCCACCTGATCGCGGTCCAAGTCCGAACGTGCCCATCCGCCCCCTCTTCCACGTGGTTTCCCGCCATCTGGAATCGGACTCTTGGGACGCTTGGGTCGGGCAGCGAGCGGAGGGCAGGGGAGGGAGGGGAGTCTCGGTTGCAACATGCAACACAAAACGTTCAGGAACTTTTGGACGGGCGTGATTCCCTAATTACCCGTTATCTGTCACTGACCCCGTCGAAGCCGATCAGATATCACATCCACCACCTAGCAATCAACTCCTTTGCCACTCCCTTCCACACCCACGGTACCCGCCGAACAGCAGACCCTTGATACCGAAAAACGTGGCCTCGAGAATCGCTTCCCCTCTCCTCTTCCCCACCCTGCCGCATTTCACCTGGAAGGCTGCGTCGTATATAGTGGATGTCGTGTTTGCCGTGTCTTCGAAGCAATTCCGCCTGCATGCGCCTGCAAATTCCCCTACCTCGAGAGTTTGCCACTGTCACAGACGTTGCCCTGGTGTCCGTATCATCTACACGATGATCATTCTTGAGGCGTCCGTACTGGCAAGGCGGCGAGTCGTGACGGATGAGTTACCAACGGCGGCCCAGCCCTTGCGATTCCCTCGAGTCGGCAAGCATGTGAGCCTCTACCGCCCTTCGTTCCCACATGAACACAGCAGTTGCCGGGGAAACTTTATCAATCTACAGTCTGCCCTTTATTCCCAGGCACCATCGGTACTACCAAGCAGCCAGCCGTGAGCTCATGCACGGGAGGGTCTCCGGTAGCGCTATGACACCCACTGCTATATGGTTGCGAGGGGTCGGCAGATCTCTCAGGGAGACTTTACGGCATTGCTCCCTCTTGTCTGCTGGCTGGCAAGCTGCAATCGAAGCTTGGGTGCTGCCCACCTTGGTCCAAGAGCTTAACCTAGCGTCGTACGAGTTGCCTCCCTTGGACGTATGCGACTGCTAATATGTCATGTCACAATATTGACCAACGGGACGTTACAAAAACGGCTTCGTCGTCTGTAATTGGCCTGCATGGATGAGAGAAGGCCGTGGACGTCATGAGGCGCACTAGATGGCGTTTGGCGTAACCTTAGGAGACTGACTACCGCCAATGCCATTAATGAATGGGCTTGTTCTGCCGCGACCCCCAAGCGCCATTTTGCTCTCACCACAGCCCCCTGTCGAACGGTCAACGGTGGGCGTCCGGACATGAGACTGCGCCGTCGTCGCAGTTGGAAGTCCAATTCGTCATGACTAGCTCAACAGGTAGACAATAGGGATCGGCCAACATACCCGTGCCGCCTCGTGTATGCCCCCTTTCCAAAGAAAAAGCATGTTTCGACGCCGCGTTTGGCGACTGTGTACTTCACGGCCCCGAATGCCTGCCTCGGTAGCACGTTCACCGTTGCCCAAGACGGGGACGCCCGCGCTGTTGACGAGGCAGTCGAAGCGCCTAGTGCGCAGCACTGGCGGCAGTGGCGAGGGTAGCTCGAAGCGGATGTCTGTGTGAACACCATAGCGGGGGCGTAGGAAAGAGACGACGAACCACGTAATCTGTTGCGCTGGGCGATGCCGCTGCCAGCATAGTGGGAAGCAATATCAGTGAAAGCGAAGAAGATGGTGTGGCATGCACAGTGACATGGAGATACGTTATTATAGGTTTATAAGAAACTACCGTATCTGGAAGTGAGTTCCCTCCAGCCAAGTTTACATGCCGAGTAGAATCTCCTTCTACTCTGCTGTATCTAGATCAGATATCGAAGCAACGCTTTCGGAATCGTCCAAGCTCTCCTCCTGGTCTGCATCGGACACGTTCTCCGGAACAGCCTGGCTCTCTTTCTCACGATCAATCTGCACAAGAGACATGTCCTCTTCGGTCCGCGCCCACTCAGCAAAGCACTCCTTCAGCCTCAGGATCCCGACACCAAACCTCTCGGCCGCACGCTTTTCCATCATGATGAATCCCAACCCAGAACGCTCGAAGCTGACCTCCCTGTCGTTCTCCTTCTCCCAACGGATCGCGGTCTCCAAGATCCGGCGCCACCGCAACTCAAAGTGTTTGCCAACGACCTCGTCCCAGAGGTTGTTGACGGCGCCGCCGCCGGGGGCATTCGCCTTGCGGGCGCGGAGCCAGTCGCTCATGGCGAAGATGAGCGTGTCGGCGCGCATCTCCCAGTTGTACAGGTCGGAAACCCAGGTCTCCAGGCGGGAGTCCGTGCCGGGCTCGTTCCAGAGGGGCTCGGCGCAGAAGACCATGGCCTGGATGGAGACAAGGAGCTGCAGAAGGGTGGACGTCTTGGGGCACCATGGTTCGCCATCCCAGGTACCGAGGAGAGAGAGACATACTGCCGGCAGATGTTAGCTGTGGGACTGCGCCGTAGAGGTTGGAGCTCCGTGGGTTTGACTTACTCTTCCCGTCAATGTAGAGGTTCGGGTTGAACCTGCGCCCGCTCCGCGTCGTTTTGAACAGCATCACCGGCGGCACGTCGGGGTATTCGAGAGGACAAAAAAGGTCGAACTCGAAGAGTCCGTTCTCGTACGGCGTGCCCTCGGGACCGACGATGAGGACTTTCATGGCATCCAGACGCGAGCCGTGGTGTCGAACAAAGATGCCTTCTGGCAGGGAAGTCCGGAGTGTCGAAAGATCGTACACAAGCCTCTTGACACGACCGGTCTTTACAGCGGTTCCCGCGGTTTGGGCCAGCGCCTGAGAGAAGCTGTATCCCTCAAGCCAGTCGTCCGTCTCAATCTCGGCGACTTTGTTCAAGTTCAGCCAAGTGTGTATGTCTTCCATTTTCCTCTCGTCGGCTTGTTCTACACGTACAGCGTCGCTGGTGATTACGGTAGAAGCGCACGATGGAGTCGGAAGGCGGGCCGAACCAGGAACCTTTGTATATTCTGCATTATTGACGTTTGACGGTCCAGCGATATCGTCGGAGAAGTCACAGATGCGCCGGCACATTGCTAGGATGTTGGCGACGTCCTCGTTCTTAGGGTTCGTGTAATGTATTATAGCACGAGACTGGTCCGTCAGCGACGAGAGCAAGCTGACCAGCGACTGCAGTGTATCCTGCGGCGAGTCGTATAGCGCCTTATCCTTGCCCTTACCCTTGTAGCTTGCGGAGCGAGTCTGCCAGAAAGCGGACGAAGTGAAACGATCCGGGCCGAAGCACACCGGTAAGAGGGTCCGGCGGAGCGGATATTCGACACGGGGATCACGGACCAGAAGGGCTGAGAAGGGATGCGCAACAACGACCCGGATGAAGTCGAACATGGGCTGGTACACTGTGGCGCGGTACACGACATCTTCCACACAGTCGTTGCGGAAGAGCTCTGCCACCTTGATCATGAGCGGGCTGCGGCGGGCCATCGCCAACAATAGCTCTGGGGGGTTCTGGTCAAACTCGCTCGATTTCGCGAGGGAAGGCCAAACCTCCCGAAGCTTCGCAAAAAGCCCGGGGAGTACTTCGAAGTCCTTCTTTTCAGCAAACCGGGTGAATCCAGCGACGGTGCTGGCGTAGTCTCCCGGCCCCCCGTAGCCTGTGCCGACAGCCGACCCCGGCGCACGCTGCGGACATCCCGTAGACCTCGCTTGGGTTGAAGGGCCGGTCGAGGCTCCCGGAGGCTCAATCTTGGCGTTAACCTGACAGTCTTGGAGGAGGGAAGCTAAGTCGTCGTTCGGGTGGCCGTGTGGGCCGCAGAGAAGGAGAAATATGAAGAAAAGCCGAGCGGAGGAACAGCACCACGTAGAAGGGCCTGGGCAGCCGGCTGATCGCTGAACCAGGGCTGTGGCTCTCTTGTCTTTCTTCATGCAAGCCGGGCAGAAGTAGACACGGCATCTCTGGCGTTGGCATTTGAACACAGGGTGAGCTGACAGTACAAAATATTAGTGTCAAAGTGGCCCAGGGGACGCCTCTATGGTGTGTGCTTCAGTTGTATAAGGGGTTGTATAGACGCCTGGAAGTAAATGAAGTTGGACGTACGCTTCTTGGCAATCAAGATTCTATGGGTATACTCGAAGATGGCACCCGTATCAAAGGGCGCTCCGGTATTGTTACAGCCCGGACACCGGTGCTGGACCATGTGCTGAACAAACACTCGCAGCTTCTGCTCCTCTTCGCACGGCGGCTCCAGCAATGAGAGGTCCGGCTTCGCGGAGGCCGCTTGCGGTGGAATTGCGGCATCGTTGGTCCTACCCAGAAGTGTTACGAAGGGCTTACAATAAGACATGGAAGGAGGATGTATGAACATACGAGGTTGCCCGACCTGAATCGGGTTGTTGGGGAATGGGGTACTTTTGGTTCGAGGCCATGACCTCCCCGACAGCACCCATAATAGGATTCTTGGTAATATGTGTATGAGAGATTTCCATGTATCCTGGGGAGGTCATGGAAATCTTGGGATCTTGAATCCCTTTTCCGTAGGTGGTAGACTGTGTATTGCTTTTACCCCACGTCGGCACAGAGTTGACAGGAAGTATTTTGTTAATGGCAGGGAAGTCGTCGTATGACAGGTGAAAAGCGGAAGCCGAAGTATGGGCAGCCGGTGTCCCCGACTTGACGCTCTCACCTGGTTTCTCCAGTGGCGAATGCGGGCTAGACTGAGATGCAGAGCCGTGGCAATCTTGCCAGTGAAGGTGAAATTCGGCAAGGGCCTGGGCTGGGGAATACGACTGAGAGGGACCAGGAGCGTTAGAAGTGAGCTTTGAAAACCAGGCATTGGATGACGAAGAGGGCAGAAAATGGGAATGATCGTATGCAAGCGCGTCTTTCATCTCGATTTCCACATTGCTCTGCTTGCCCTGGAACCAAGTGCAAGGAGCCAGAGCCTTGGCAGTCTTGCTACTCTGGTGGCTCTTGTCTAATGAAGTAGAAGGGTACTCCATAGTCGGCTGTGGAAGATGCGGCACCGACTTCTTCTTTCTTTCCTTGAGCTCTTGCTCAAGGTTTCGCTTCGCCATTGGCTGACTGGGAGAAATGCCAGAAGGGGGTGAACTGAGCTCGTGAGCATCCTTACTGAGCTTTCCTTTCGTCAAGTAGTCGGCCAGCTTGGCTTTGTAATAAGACATCTCCTTTGGCCAGCGTTTCGTCTCGACCTCGTGGCTGCTCGCCGAGGCAATAGTAGCGTAAGTGTTTTGCTTGATGCCCTTTTTCTTGCCCTTTGAACCGCTCGAAATGTCAGCGGGGTACCGGAAGAGAGAGCTGGACTTGCGTGTATGGAAACCAGCTGGACTCCTACAGTCCTACGATGGATGCTGTTGCTTGCCTTTATTTCGCGTCCAAGACCCAAGTCCTCGACCGCATACGAGCCGGAAACAAGAACGACTCGGGCTTTCCAGAGCGCTCTGAAGAGCCAAAATATGCAAGTGAAGAAAATCCTCAGGATGCGATAGATCATATGCATGCCGAGGCTGTCCACAGCTCCGGGAACTCTCAAGGCTGTGGTCGGAAAAGGGTGAGATTTGGAGACCGAGACCGCATTGGAGTGGAGGGTATGATGGATGGTAGGGCGGCAGGCAGAAGAAACAGGGGAAATTTTTCCAAATGACAAAATTTATGTGGTATTGTCAGCCATGAAGGTAGTTGACCAGCCAGGTCTGACGCTGGCACTTTGAGTTTCTTGTTGTCATGGTATCTTAATTGCGGAGCCGAGGCTTATGGACGATATGATGATAGGAACAGACGCAGCCAAGGGGCCAAGACAGCTTATACGCCAGGCCATACAGAGCCATAAATCACATTTAGGGGGAAATTTTATGTAGCATCCACGCTGTATATACACGCTCGTCTCTGATATTTACGTAATCTATGTACAAGAAAGTAAACTGAGATATCCAGTCTAGGCGTTGGGCCATTTATCTCTGCAGAGAGATCTCAAGCAGCCACTTCGGGACGCGCTTAGAAAGCCGGGTTGGCGTTAACGAGCAGCTGCTCAAAGTAGGCCTGGAACCACGTGCCGGCCTCGGGGGCGGGCTTGAGGGCGTCGCTCTTGCCGCAGTTGAGGTCGTAGCGCGCGGCGGTGGTGTCCGAGGTGCCGTCGCTCTCACCGCCAGGCTTGACCCAGACGAAGGCGTCGACGAGCGACGAGCCTGTGTTGGTGGTAGGGCGGGTACCGAAGCCGGTGCCGATGGCGTTGCACCAGTCACCCCACGCCTGCTGACCGGTGGGCTGCTTGCCGGAGCGGCCCTGGTCGACGATGAACTTGGCGTCCCAGCCCCCGGCTGCAAGAAGGGGGGCGAGGGCCTCGATGTAGTGCTTCTCGTCGTAGTTGGCGTTGCCTGGGAGCAGTCAGATGCTATGTACTGTACCTCTGTGTATAGGTCAAGGAAGGGAGATTGAATATCCTGGCTGGTGGGCTGCATAAATGGGTCACGTGAATGAGCTGCCTCATCCACAGATACCATAGTCTACATCGAATCGGAAAGCAATGCAAGAGAGAATCGTTACCTTGAGTGTAAGAAGGTGCACTGCTAATGCTATAGCCATTATACTGTCCGTGGTCAGTATGCGAGAGCGAACGTTGCGGTTGGCGGAAACGACTCACGTTGGACACGTTGGTGACGATACCGCGCAGAGACTTGGGCTTGCCGGCATCGTTGTAGACCTTGGCGTACATCTGAGCAGCAGGGGGCAGGTTAGCAGTCCAGCCGAGCCAACCTGCATGGCCTCCATCGAGGTACATGGCCACGTTGGGAAGGTTGAGCTGTTTGACGGCGTAGTTGGTGCACTCGAGGTAGGCAGCCTGGGCACCGGCGCATTTGGGCACGTTCAAGCTATGGGCTTGTCAGCATATTTGGCCGAGGCACTACAAGTCGGGATTTGATGTACTTGGTAACGAGGTTGGCGAGAGAGTCGGGTTCTGATGGGAGTTAGAAGCTGTCTCATCCTGTCAGGCGGGTTGTATGGACACTCACCAATGGTGAGGATGATGCGGATGTCAGAGTACTTGATGACCATGGCGCGGATGTCGTCGATGTACTCCTTGTACTTGGCAACACCACCATCGGCAATGGACAGCTCGCCGTTGGAGGCGGCGGCAGCACAGTCACGGTCGGGGAGGTCGTAGACGACGAATTCGCCGGCGTAGTTGCCACCGGCCTGGTTGGCCTTACGGATATCGGCCAGAGTGGCGTCGACTAGGGGGATCTTGGAGCGGGTATCCCTGAGGAGTAACAGAGTGTCAGGAAAAACAATGGGGTTTTTCTTTTCTCTCCGCGAGATGGGCGACTTACATCCACATGAAGGTAGGAACCTTGGCGACCTTGGCGGCTGCGGTGGCCAGAGCCGGGCTCAAGGACGGAATAGCCAGAGTCGAGATCTCGGAAGCGTAGTATGAGTTGGCCCAGAGGTCAACGCCTACAAAAGGGTTGCCGGTGTAGGTAGCACCGCCGGCCGGAGGAGCAGTGGTACCGGTGCCGGCGCTGGTGGTGGAGACGGAACCGGTGATGGTCGAGGTGCGAGAGGGGCTGACGACCGCGGTGGAGCTTGTGCGGACGGTCGAAGAGGCGACTGTCGAGCTGGATGAAGGGGCGGCGCTCCCGGGGAGGCACTGGCTGTAGAATGGGTTGCTGACGGTGCAGACGCTGCCGGCGGCGCAGCAAGAAGGGCCGGTCCAGCCTTGACCACCACACTGGCCCCTGTGTCTTGTAAGAAGGTAACTCTTGGAGGCGAACACCATGGTTGGTTCCACTTACCATTGAGCCGCGCAAGCTTGTCTCTCCTCGATGGGGACGGCGAAGACGGCAGTACCCAGAAGGGCAGCGGCAAGAAGCGTGCGTGCAGCCATTGTTGCTTCGATTCTGAACCTCTTGGCGACGAGTTGAGACTAAGGGGGAGATGAGGTCTGTGGGTTGCAGGTATGGACTAGATGGTTGTATTCCGGCCTGGGACCTGGCCTTTTTATCATCATTGTGTCTCGGCAGCGGACATTCTATCCCTCTGGTTCATAAGCTGATCCTTTCGGATCGGCGGGATGGTCGAGTTCAGGGCTCATGGCGGGTGAGAGAGTGTGCCGCATCATCCTTGGAGCATAGCTTCGGCATCCTGAGCACTTGATTACCCCTTCGAGACAAGCGTAGGGAAATCAGGCGAAGGCGAGCAAGTTGCTGCAAGCCATGAGGGGCGAATTTGGGCCATGGGATAGACATCCGAAGCTTCAACGGGTGCGGGACGGACATCGTGGAAACAACCGAGTTGGGGGATGGCATGTTGAGTCGGGAACGAAGGCTGGACATAGATGGCAAATGTCGGCGACCAGGAACGGCCGGCTCTGGGTATAGTTGAGGGCATGAGAAGGGAACATCTGCCGACCAATGTGCGACGGGAAGACGAGCTGGATGCAACGGAGTCTAGGTCATCTCGGAGGTGACGCTCCATATTAGCCATGAACGGAAGAGCGCGTTGGTCATGGGGGCGCGGTGGATGTGGGGACGGTTAGGGAGGGTGGCACGAAGGGTCGGAAAGGACTCTGGATCGTTCCGAACAAATTACACCTGCGCCAAGGGGGGTGGAAGAGCGGCTTCGCCACCCGAGACATGGAAGCTTGAGGGCAGTTGTCCTTGAGCACACTCAATCTAGAGACGGAAGCTTCCTCGATGAGAGGGCGTCGCGAATCGGTCTACGGAGGGTGGTGAAAGCTGACGTATGGGATGACCTGCCGAAGGGATAGAATGACGGAGCGAAAGTGGCATGGCTTCAGGTACCAACCAGCGGGGAGAAAAGAGGGGGGTTGACGGAGACCGCAAGTTGGCGTAGGAGCCGCACGTCAGGGACTGGCAGCAGACGATTTGGGGAAATTGACTAGGGGTAATTGATGCATCGTGGCTGATTCCTGATGTGTGACAGGCTGACAGCAGAACAACAGACCGAGGGAGTGATGCCGAGTTATTCAGACCTGTCGGGAGTCAACGAGCGTTAATGAGACTCATGAGAGTTGTGAGCGGGATGCACTCGAGCCCAATTGCCTGTCTATCAAGCATTGATTGATGTCTTGCATTTCCAGGGCTATAGCAACGATCCATGTTGAAGTTTCCTTGAAGTTTCCCTCATGTTTCTCCGATGCTGGAAATCAATGACTCTGTGTTTTAGACGTCATGGCATTAGTTAGGGAACAATTGAAGCAAACGGTTTAACTTGTTTGGTCATGATATGTTGTCAGGTAATGATCGACAAGCATGGGAACATCGATATTAATGAGGCGGACTAGGCATGTGTGTATGCAAGCATCGGAGTTGGTCACAACTTGAAATAGAGGAAAGGAAGTACAGACAACTACAATGTTGACAATGACACAATGAGAGGGGAGGTGGAATGAGGATGAAAGGCGGAAGTACCAATATCTTTTCGCACAGTCTATATAGACTGTGCTGACATAATCCGCGCCGTCGCAGAGACGCTATCCCGGAGCCCGCTAAAACAGTCCCGCCAATTGACTGCCAGGTCACGTGAAGGGTAAGTGGATTACGTGATTTGATAGCTTGACTACGTACCGAGGCGACTCGAGCTTCACCGCCTGGACCCTCTCGCACGGCAGAATTTCCACGGTGCCCGAAACCGTCACCTCGATCAGTCGAGAGCTCCCCCTGACGGTTGACCGAGACTCCGTCGCAGTCCCCGCTGTCTGTCCCTCCGTCCCTCCGTCCGTCTGCCTGTTCCGCCCCGCGACCATCCTCGAAACACCAGCAGCAGCAGCACCACCACCATCTCGACCTCGACCTCGATCTCGACCAATAGCGTCCTCGCGTCTCCGAGTCGCCGACCAACCCTTCAATCCCCTGTGGTCGCTCCCGTCGCGCACTCGCCCCCCCGGTCATCGCCAATATGCTGTCCGGAATCCTCATCTTCAACCAAAAGGGCGAGAACCTCATCTTCCGCGCCTTTCGCAACGACTGCAGACCCAGGCTTGCCGACGTCTTCCGGATTCAAGTGATCTCGAACGCCCAGGTCCGGTCTCCCATCCTCACCCTCGGCAGCACAACCTTTAGCCATGTCAAGCATGAAAACATCTACCTAGTGGCCATCACAAAGAGCAATGCCAATGCCGCCCTGGTCTTCGAGTTTCTCTATCGCCTGATCGCTCTGGGCAGGGGTTACTTTGGCAAGTTTGACGAGGAGGCTGTCAAGAACAACTTCGTGCTTGTCTATGAGCTGCTCGATGGTGCGTCCGAAATTCCCATCACCTCCCCCCTCCGTCCATGTCATCACCGGAACTGGAACTCGGCCCCTTCCCCCCACTGACACTTCCGCCGCAGAGATCATCGACTTTGGCTACCCTCAAAACACGGAAACCGACACCCTCAAGATGTACATCACCACCGAAGGCGTCAAGTCAGAACGCGCCGCCGAGGACTCGGCCAAGATCACAATGCAGGCGACGGGCGCGCTCTCGTGGCGCAAGGCCGATGTTAAGTACAGAAAGAATGAAGCCTTTGTCGACGTGATCGAAGACGTCAACCTCCTCATGTCCGCGACTGGCGCCGTCCTGCGCGCCGACGTCACCGGCCAGATCGTCATGCGCGCCTACCTATCGGGCACCCCCGAGTGCAAATTTGGCCTTAACGACCGCCTGCTCCTCGACAACGACGGTCTCCTGAGCCTGCCAAGCGGGAACAGGATGGGCACCAAGGCGACCAAGGCCGCTGCCGGCAGTGTCACCCTCGAGGACTGTCAGTTCCACCAGTGCGTCAAGCTCGGCAAGTTCGACAGCGACCGCATCATCTCCTTCGTGCCCCCCGACGGCGAGTTCGAGCTCATGCGCTACCGCGCCACCGAGAACGTCAACCTGCCCTTCAAGGTCCACGCCATCGTTAACGAGGTCGGCCGCACAAAGGTCGAGTACAGCATCGGCATCAAGGCCAACTTCGGTTCCAAGCTGTTTGCCACAAACGTCGTTGTCCGCATCCCCACCCCGCTCAACACGGCCAAGATCACCGAGCGCTGCACCCAGGGCAAGGCCAAGTACGAGCCCAGCGAGAACAACATTGTCTGGAAGATTGGCCGCTTCACCGGCCAGAGCGAGTTCGTCCTGAGCGCCGAGGCCATCCTGACGAGCATGACGAACCAGCGTGCCTGGTCGCGCCCGCCGCTGAGCCTCAACTTCAGTCTGTTGATGTTTACGAGTTCGGGTCTGTTGGTGAGGTATCTAAAGGTGTTTGAGAAGAGCAACTACTCGAGTGTCAAGTGGGTGCGGTACATGACGAGGGCGGGTTCCTATGAGATACGGTAAGCTTTCGATCCTTCACCGGCAAGGGGGGCGGGGGCCGACATTGGCGTCCATTCATGAGCATCTGCTAACATCTGCACAGTTTCTAGCGGGGTAATCATGTGGGGTTTTCGAGCTTTGTGTGTGGTATATATGCATAGTACGGCGTCAAAAGGTATTCCCAGTTACAAAAAAGCCGGTGGGCTCCAGCACGTTTTGCCAACATTTGACGGCGGCCACGTTTGTTGTCAAGTCTCTTTGCCGGAGACGATAGTAATACAAGGTGTTCCAACCACTCCAGATCGCCTCATTGGCTCGCCGTGAGGTGCGGTTCGTCGTCACACGTCAGCTCCATCTTCCCTCGGCATTTGCTGCAACATCCGCCTATCTCTCAGCTTACCCCTCATCCGAGTACCTGTCTCTGTGGCTCTGCTTACTCTCGCATCAGGATGACCATCGCAGACACAAGCTCGGGGCCTCCCCGGCGAACCTTTTCGAGGCGCTATCCAACCTGCAGTCCATCAGCATGGTTGTGTCTACCCCTTCCACCTCGTCATCCTCGACCAGTAACACTTTTACCCCCTCGAAAGCCTGCTTATCCGCGTCCGCCTGCTGGCTCCGTATCATCTCATCCATTGCCGCCGCAAAAACATAGTTCGGGTGCTCATACGACCAGCCGAGCCCTTCGAAGTCGAACACCTCGCGATACGTCTTGCCGACGCCGTGTATGACCTCCGGCGCCCGAATCATGGCGCCGTCCGTATCCCGACTCTGCAGCTGTCGGTACAGAGGCCCGCGTGTCTGAAGCTGGTCGGCCCTGATGTTGTGCCGCTTGCATCGCGTGCAATGCCCGTGGCAGTGGTCGACCAGGTATAGCACCTGGAGACCTTGCTGCAGACAACAAGCCAAGTACGCCGCCTCCTCGTGGACCACCGCCCCGATCGCCGGCGGGGCCCATGCCTCCGCGACGTCGAGGGCGATACGCCCCGCACCGCGCAGCGTCTCAGCCATCTCGACACTCCAAGGGCCCTCTAGCAGCTCGGTGAGTTCGTTTGTTCTAGACGCCTCGAACTCGCCCAACAGCACCCCGTCGGTCAGGTTCATAATTGCTCCGCCGTCTCTAAATCGTAAGAACAGCACATCGTTGTCGTTGTCGTATTCGATCCTTCTATCTCGACCCGGGAGGTATACCGTGTTGACGCTCTTGCTGCTCATCCTCCTCTGCACTGCCGCCGACGCTTCGGAGCACGTCAGTCGCATCGTTGAACGGAGTCTGTACACGGATGGATCGTATGCGTGTCGCGCAACGCGCGTCTGCCGTGCTAGCTCCGCCGGCCCGACTTCCAGGGTGTCGAGGAACACGCATTCGCTGTACTTAGTCCATCTGTCGTGGTTACTCCTCGTCATGGCTCCGTCGGCGCCGAGGAAGGCGCGCTTGCTGCGGCCGCTGTCACGCCACGAGGGGAAGCAGACGTCGAAGATGTGCATCGACGTTCCGGCAGCCGCCTCGTCCCAGATCTTGAGACGGATCTCGGGCGGGAGGTCGGGGAATCTGGCGAAGGAGCCGGACGGCATCGCGGGCGGCTGCGGACGGGCCCGGGCGGACTTGGGTATATTCTCGATGTACGATTGCAGGTTTCGTGGGAGTTGATGGAGGCACTTTTGCAGGACCGCCGCTGATATACACCCCATTAGGTGCTTGGCGCGCAACGTAGCCCACCAGCTAGAGACCCATTCGAGGGAATCCGCGGCCAGCTCACACATCTCATCCATGCTCACTCTTGCTCGTGACTCTTTCGGTCGCAGTCAATTTCATGCTGTCTCGTAGAGGAACAGAGGGCCGCGAATCGTTATCCTCTGGGATACTTGTATGCTCGCCCGCCCGTCAGCCTATTTTCAGCACTTGTCCAAGCGAAGAGGGATTTACGCGCCGTTTGTGCCTCCACGTATCGAAGGAATGGCAGTCAGCGCCGCCACCGGTCCGCAGGGTAAGCCTTACCGTATAAGCCTTGATATGCCTTAGTTTGCGGTCACCACACCCACCACCCGAAGCCCCGGCGCTGATTGGTCGGGGTCCATGTTGCCAGTACAAACAATGGGTGAGAGATATGCGTGCAGGCCTAGTGGACACCAGCTGAAAGAGCCATTGTGTGGGGACTGGTCTGAGAGGGGGGGGGCATGGGTTGTGATCCGGCCAGTTGTTTACCATGTAATCTAGTTTCGACAAACAACTAGGAAGCAACGGTCTTGGCGAACCAGGACTCGAGCTAGGATGTCGACTGAGCTAAATTATCCCCTCGACTGCCTGTCACGGGGTAAGTGCCGTTGGAATGCTTCCAGGCTTATATGGTCAAGTATCTTGGGAAAGCTGACGGCACCTATGGAGGGAGCGGCTTCTTTACCGACGTTTGTACCGGTTAGCTGTATCCGTCCCTCCGCCCGGGCCCTGCTAGGGAGCCCTGTCCAAACCGTCGGCTAGGAGTACGGCTATTTGGCCGTATGCACCATCTCCAACTGTCCAAGGCACGACGGGCACGATCTGATTATTGATGGCTGTGTCAGAACAGTCCGGGCTTACCTCCCACGCTGTAGTGCTAGGCTCGACGGTGCTGGTATATTCATATCGCAGGATGCACGTTTTCATGTAATTCTCCTTGTCGCCTATGTATTTCAAGATAACGCCGCAGCGGTCGGCGACCCATGTTCTAATCCAGTAGTTGCCGTCATCGGGCAATGGGTTAGCAGAGGGGTACGAGCTGTTGACCACTGGCGTGGCTTCCACGATAACATGGCACCTCTGGCCAATGGCAATGAGACTCGAAGTTGCATTGAATGGCTTGACCGGAACGAAGTCGGCTTCGATGACAGTGAAGTTGTGGTTGTCGATGGAAAATACAAAGGTGGTATCAAAAGACGTGTTGATGAGACGCAACAGATAGCGCTTGGCCCGCGTCGCAGGGTTGGGCTTGATGTTGTCGAACCAGACCTCATAGCCTCGGGGGATCTCAGTCGTGTTTGCGGTCTTGCCACCCGTGAATCGGACTATGTTTCCCAGCCCACCCAGTAAGATATCTTCCCTATCCGGCTTTCGGCCCGGATGGATATTCTCGAACGCACTATTGTTTGCTAGTGCCTAGCCTTTAGTATCACTTGCAAGCATACATAATGATAGTGGCCTCTGGCTGCAACTCACCCCAATCAGTCACGGTGATTGGCTCGATGGCCTCGTCGTATGGGAAAGATGTTGGTCCGTGAATTTCCTACCACCGAACCAAGTCAGCAAGTGCCTGCGAAGGACCTGAATGCATCAAGGAGGACCAGAAATCACTTACTATAGGTGCTTGTAGTCCATCAGCATATTGCACTGAATAGTGGCTATGATACCATGAGCTGCCATACTGCGTGGCATTCCACTTGTACACGAAGTGGCTTTGCGGAGCGATGGGACACTGTGTGATTCCATTGATACCGTCCATGTGCATAGTCTGATTCTGTCGAATACCGTGCCAATGAATACTGGTTCCGTTGTAAGCTAGCTTGTTGTGAACATGAATCCCAACCTCATCTCTCCAACAGGCTTCTATAAGAGGCCCAGGCCAAAGGTCGTTGAACAGTTTAGCTCCGTTTGAATCTAGGCCGTTCGCATTGATATCCCCGTCAGTGACGTTGAGATGGTATATGCGGGTGATGCCTTGAGGTATATTGGTCTCGTAGTCTGTGTTTATATTATATTCTTCTCCTGTGTCTGGGTCTCGCAGCCAGCAACTCCTATTGTCAGGTGTGCTGCATGATTTGAAGCCTGTCGTCAGCGTGTAGTTGCAAACGAATTTGACAATGTTGCTGCCGAGACGAGTGAAAATGGGATGTCCATGCTTCGTCAAAGTATCAATATGGAGCAAGCTGGGCCTGCCTCCGAAACGGCACTGCGCTACATCTCCAAAGGATGGAGAGCCGAATAAGAATTGGGCGGCATCTATGATGATAACCCAAATATGTCGCAGGGCCAATATCTTGGCCTGGTGTTTTCTAGGAGGTAGGTCCGCTGCGAGTATGGGAAAGACAATCAAAGCCTGATTATACATAAAGGAACTCCTCCGATGGCTTGCTCAAATCCAAGCTTTTATATGTAACTGTGGAAGGAGTTTATTTGTCAGATAGGCTAGACACTAGCTTTTCAAGGGAGGTTACCAAGTTCTTCCCTAGCTTGAGACGTGCAAAATCAGAGTCGCGATGGTCTTGAACTGGAATGGATTGGCGTGGCCCTCCGGATTTGCAGTTATATATGGTGGTCCGTATCATGATAGGCCTCGGTTCAGCCTCAAAACGCATTTTTTTGCTATATAAGCGATAAATGATACCAATGCCACAATCCGCTTACGAACAACTCATTAACGTCACAGAAATATATAATGGGTTTGAGGTGGAACTTATGAACCCAAACTACTATTTGCAAGAAGACCTTGGGGGTTTGACTTTCAGACGCTGTTGAATAAAATAACAAAATTGGAAGTACCTTACATTTGACAATGTTATTGCGAGCGGTGGCTGGAGCAGGCTCCGTGAGACCCTTGGTTGTGTAACTTCGGGTGAGGGGCAACCCGGCCGCACGGGACTAGATGGCTGTGTCTTTCATTTGAATTTTTTCAGTATCTCGTGCTCTCAAGTCATCCTACCCTAATGATATTTCGAGCCAGCCGAACGGGAAAGGTCGAGACTGGAATGATTAAGATCTTTGTTGTTTTACCTGTACGCTACAAGCGAGAAGAATCTTATGGCGAAAGTCTGCATCTGCTTATTGAACTGTTCTTTTGCCCACATGATGCAGACGAAATCTTTTCATTAATATTTCAGTTTCATCGTAGAAAACCTTCTGATATCTGAAGGCGAGACTCACTTGCTTCATGGATCGATCACGGTTTATGTTATTTTGACTCAATCCCCTACAATTTTGTGTCAACTGGATGGCTGCTTTTGTGCTCTTGTATGATGAACTGGAGAGGGCCGGCTATCGCGGCATGCGCCAATATGTGGGTGCCTATTACTAGAGATCATAACCGACTCTGTTAAAGTGATGTCGGGTTCTTCAGATGGAAAGTCAGTCTGAGGGCAGATTGATGTTGGCGTCAGAAACCGCTGCTGCATTGTTGTTGTCAGGTGATGCCAGGGCTGTCTGTGTAGTCGACTTTGCCCCCAAATGGTCAAACGACCTATTTCAGTGTGAACTTGCATTCGCGACAAGTCCCTCGGTCCTGAAAGTGGCGTTTCACGACAGATTCGTCAAAGCGTGCTAGCACAATGGCTATATTGTCCATAGTTTTATACTTTTACCTCTTGGTACTTTTGCCTTTTTAATCCTACTAAGAATGAAAGCCCTTCATGTTTTGATTTGGTCCTGTTGTTCATGGCAGTACCCGTCAGCCTTCCTTTATGTTTTGTGCAAGAGATAACAACTGTAAGAGTAAGCTCCATCGGAGAGGCCGGTCTAGACCCATTATCTGGGCGAGTAGCACCACGAACACCCAATGTTTCAGTAGGAACGAGGTGATTTGTATGCAAGATAGTCATCATTAACCGACATTGAGAAGGTAACAAAACCATGACCCTATCACAAAAAGCCACGATGGGTAATCGGCCGATATGAACAACGCTAAATCTCTTGGGCTTTCCAATATATGAGCTTTATCCGATAATGAGACTCCTTGGCTTTGTACTCCTATGCGTCTCAAGCCTAAAGCTATTGTGATACCCTTTGAAGTACGCTGCAATATGGTTCAAACGCCCTCGTGGTACGATACATGCAAGCTTCTGGCTCTCATATCACCTAGCTGCATTTGCCTACCTGATCGTGCAGCATCTGCAGGCTATTCGACCGTAACCCTTCAATCGGTATCGGGCTATTGGACTGATACATTGAAGTGGGTGGGTCATTGGTGTCCATTAGGAGCTCGGGTCGCTTATATGTGTCGAATTCGGTCTTGTTACCCTTGCAGCTGAGCTTACAGCCGAAGCTCGAGTTCGGGCTTGGCTATGTGCAACCCACGGAAAGCCACGGCCTTACTGGCATTTTTATAAGCTCGTGCATTATCGTGTAACTTCTATTCGGCATTTGTTCCTGTTTTGATAGTTCGTTCGGGCCCGATGTCTAGGGAGGTGATGCTTACTGAGGAGTTCCCGACAGCCTCGACCGAGGTGGCTTACACATCGATCAAGAACAGACGAAAGAAGGAAACGGGCTAGATTTTATTTGCATGAATGTTCACCCAACCATCAGCCTTCTTCCCTCATGGCGCAAGTTGACAGTCCGTATGTGGCTCTGGTTTATTGAATGTCTAGCGACTGCACAAATTTCTCGATAGCAGAATGTGCCTTGCCAGTGTTACCTGACCCATGCAAAATTATCCAGCTGTGTTGAATTGGTAGGCGTCATTTCTGTTCTGCTAGAAGACACCCGGTCGGACCGCTTACCATTATGCTGTACAAGGCCGACATGGTTGAAGTATGTCCACAAAAGCTCTTATTTCGATTATCCACTTACACAAATTCCATGGCATGATGAACGCTGACTTTTCAACATTTTCAATGATCACTATCAATCATCTTTGGGATTGTTCTCTGAATGTCAACTAAGCCTAGAAAATAAGCTATGCCTCGATATTAGTACCAGAAGCTTTTTGAGAACTTCCCATTAGAAGTACAGTGTCTTCGATGCAATATCCGAGACACCGGATGAAGGCATGCATGCCGTGGCGAGCGACGCTGATAACACCAGGATCGAAAACTCTTCTCGCTCAAACGGAGAATGTTTAGTTCGGTACGGTTCAAGCAAATAGGAGCTCATACTCAGTTCATGTCACCTTTTTGTTTCTGTGGGGGTATATTCGGCACACTGGATTCGCTATTAACACTGCTGACTTGCGTGGTGGCTGTCGGTGCACTAATAAACAAAAACCATCAATCTCCTACTTCACGTTCTGTCAGAGTCATATTGGGCGTATATAGAGTCACTTCGGTAAACTAGAAGACGAGTGTGAGAGCAGACGAGAGTACTATATGCTATTGCGAAGTCAGTTCTTTAACAAAGCTATACTAGCGTACTTGACACTATTATGCATTACGCTTGCTTAGTTTTGAAAATGGGCAACGCAACGGTGTCAGCGACATTCTAGAATGCGCATGGAATACTTCTGAGCAAGGATGAAGCCACTTGCAAGACATCTTGGCTCACGAGCCATGGAAATCGGCTTCACAAATGGAGAAGACCCTCGTGGAATCTCGGATTAAACTACTTCTTGTGACCTTTTACCGCGCCTTGGTCAGGTAGCTTCCATATGGACAGCCAGAAGTGAGTCCTCTCGGAATCACCTGCCGTTACAACTGTGGATCTCTGTCTCGAATTACTGGGTATTATTGGCCGTTCAAGCCATAGGTTCTCTGTACAAAACCGACAAGCTTGGATACACCACGTGCTTATCATTCTCCGGAAGGATGGTGAATGGGGGCCATGGGTTTGACAGTGGCGGCAAAGTATTGAAGTGTGGCAGGCAAGTCGTGTCATCCTTCGGAGTCCACAGGAGTAGCAAAAACGGTATGCGGTGACTGGATCCCGAACTTTTGGTATTGGGCAGCTTTGATATTGAGGTTCACGTGTGTCTTCCTTCAGGGTAAGGAGGATGGCCGCTGTCCGTTGGTGAGCTAGTAAGAGGGTATGCTGCAGAGCTTCGTATAAGACCAACAATGCTGCACTCCTGCATGTCATGAGTTCTTACCACAATATACTAACGAGCAACAGACTACTACAAAAATAATATTGAAGCACGTTCGCCTAAGTCTCGATACTTATTGTCTTGCTCATGCAGTCAGCTTCTAGTCTTTTGTCCTCACTCATATCTTATTTACATTGCCACAAGCCAGCTTTTGTCTCCTCGAATTCGGTTACCCTAGTTCGACAGCAGCCCGAATTTCGAGAGGACTCAATTCTCCTGCAGTCACTTGCAGCATCCTTCGGGAATCGATATCTCTGTGTTACCGCAGCACTCGATCAGCCACGGAATTTGCGCCCATCGTGATCGGTTTCATCGGCTTTCTTATGTCCATTCTAATTATCGTTTCATATATTCTCTGGTAGAGTGGACTCAAAGAGGGAAGAATTACCTCGTACTGCAGTTCGTCAGCCTTCGCAAGACTAGCTCAAAACCTCTTTCCCCCACAAACAGAAACAATGTGCACTTATTCCTATTTACATCACCACCACGTTCAGCCATGCGCCCGCCCTATCGATTATGTGGTCCATTACGAGTTTTGCTTGGATGCTGAGAAGGACTCCGACGGCACGGCCCAGACTCCCTGCGAGCGCGTCTCTTATGATCCGGTCCAGTCGATTGATTTCGATAACCCCTGTGCGACTGGAGGCTGTCTTATGTCGCCTGACTGCAGCTCCGGAAACTGTCGTCTCAAGGAGCTTAACGGACAGTGGATCTGTTGCCAATGCAGCCGTGGAAGCAATTCACTCCGGTGGTGTCGACACAAGATGAAGAAAAGTCCGGATACTTTCTGTTACCACCGTGTCTGCCAAAACTGTACATCAGACACCGAAACTTGACGACCCCACAACAGAAGGACAATTGAGCCAGCCGGGCTGATACATGACCACAGGCTATGACCCAAAAGAGAATGATGAGGGCTATCCAACGAGTGTCTCGGCATCTTTCAAAAGAACGGCACATGATACCGATCTCCATTGTGCGGGTGTCTGATATTCACCCTATTGACTGGCAATTTCGCGTTCTCGGCACCTCTTGGCTTCCATATCCACGGTACTTTAGTCTTCACCTGAAGCTAGCCCTCCAAGAACGGGGCTGTGGTAGTACAGAAGGCTAAGAGAGGCCTAGTCAGGAACGAAAGATCCACCTTGCCAGGTCATGGTCGACAGGTAGATGCGGTCTATTCGTAACCAGCTTTCAGGCTGGCCGATAATCGGGAAAGGCTGGAAGATAGAAGCGAAGAGGCTTGCGAGCCTTACGACACACCAAACACCAGAGACTAATCGACCTATTCCTGTTCCAACTGCATGTTTCATGCCATTGAAATGAGTGACTACCTTGCTGTAGATTTATCACTATGAGGCTGCCAGTGATACTTCGACCGTACCTAGCCACAAGCCCTGGACTGCCGAACTCGGTCCCTGATACATATCACCAACCTGGCTGCCACGTTTTCTTGTCAATAGACCTTAAGACTATTTGATTCCTTGAACACATCATACAATTTACGAGTCAGCCATTTGTACCTTTGTTTATTGAGTCGTTCAGCCTCATTCTTAGTACCGGTAGTATTGCTGGTTCCTGGCGATCAAGCAGGGGTTTCAGTACGGCTATTTCGTCATATGGTCGAGGATCATGGTTCGACACAGCGGGATCCGGGACGGTCTGCCGAGCTTCCCCTTAGATCTCGCCCATCTTCATGCGAATGCTTTTCAACTATAAAGATAGAAACAGATTCCTGGCATTTTGAACTGATCGAAGCTTGTCACCGATATCGCAGACGCGTTTCCTCAAGTTTCCTTGGTTGCGACCTTCAGGGCACAACTCAAATCAGCACGTATTATCAAGTCTTCAAGTCATCTATTACTGAATTCGCACCCCTACAACCACCAAAGTTTCGAAACACAGAACCAGCGGCAATGTGCAACATCATCTCTTACAAGCTGCCGTGTGAGCACGTCCAGACCCAGGTCAACCACTGCTCAAGGGCACCCTCACCTTCAAGAAAAGATCCCTTCAACCGCAAGACATGCAGAGAAATTAGTCAGCGGAACATAACCTTTCCGCCTCCTTCGGGCTACACAATGCCAGAATGCCCTTTGGAAAATTGTCCTTACGAAAAACGAAACCGGTGTTGGAACTGCTGCTGGTGTGGAAAGGGTTGGAACGATGGCGGCAGATGTAGCTGCGTCATGATAATTGACGGGACAGAGTATCGCTGTGAGCATATTTGCTGCAACGCTTGTACTGCCGCTATCGACGGCTGATTACTCAAAGTCCGAAGCAGAGATGAATAGTTGTATGATGGAAGCCACATGATTTAAGAGCTATGTACTATAGCTATTACGGGGTGTGGGCTTAATCTCAGGTTCACTGTTTGACGCTTAATCCATCGGGTAGAAAACCATGCATATCAGTACCGAAATTAGCATTTTATGCGTCATGGTTAGCTGTCAGAAAAATAACTTCATCAATCCTATCCACTAGTACTGATGATCACAAAATGAAAGAGTCTTGAGGGCTGAGAATTGCCGTCGACCTTTGGTAGTCTTTTCACACTTTGATTGTATCTGCTTGTCATTAAAATCTCCTGAACAGTGGTCACGATTATATATCGGGGTATTGTGGTGTCAAGGCAATGACACCGACAAAAGCTTAAACAGAGGCCAACATCAAGATCTATAGATCGACATAGGGTCTTTTGACGGGGTCAAGTAATCAACGCTAGAGAAAATGTCCATCTTCAGCCCCAGATCCTGCACCCTCCCATTTCGATCCAGCCCTAGAGACATTTTGTGACCCATACCACTATCCGTAATCACGCTCAATTTGGCGAGAATGCGATTGGCTATGGCAAGAATCGATGCCATCCTCACCTCCGGTATGGTCTCATGAGTTATCGC